ACACTCATACAGTATATATTTTGAAAATATTTAGATGTATTTACATATTTATATTCATATAATTTATATTATACGTAAATATATTTAATATATGAATATAACATATTTTTCATATGTATGTGTGTGTATTTATATATACATAATAAATATACACAGTACACATACATATATTGTGTAAACAAAAACTTTATTTTGGATGCGATTAATCATTTAACAGCACTAATATATATATATATATATATATACATATTAGAGATGTAACAGTATGCAAATTTCTTCGGTTATCAGTAGTATCACGGTATTGTTAAAATGTGCTGTAAATCTGCAAAAAGTACTGACACATAAATCATTTCAACAAGTTTTGTTTTTAAAATCAACAAACAATGAATTAAATTACTTTTTGTTGCGTAAACACTAAAACTAGAACAGTTATAACAGTTAACTATAACAAACTCTTCAGCCTTTAAATAAAGAAAAAGGTTAAAGGTTAATGATAACTGATTAATAAATAATTATATGCATTTTATCTGCTCCATAAATAATTCTAGATACCTTATCCGAATTGTTTAAATGTGTAGAATCAACCTAAATAGTTTTTCATCATCAGGTCAAAAAGTACAGAAAGCCATGCTAATTCGGTCCATTTTTTGGCCAGACAGAAACTGCAATGTAAGTCTCTGTAAACCCACTCTCTGACAGCAGGTGGCGCTTATGGAGCAGCAGAATTACAGCTGTTTCCCGTAACCTTCGTGAACAAAGCAGCACTGCAATTAAATCAACACTTTATTAGGTATTAGGGTGACCATATGTCCTCTTTTCCCTGGACATGTCCTCTTTTTGGACCTACAAAAATGCAACCGGCTGGGATTTCAAAATCGCCCAAAATGTCCGGGATTCGGCTTTTGCTTTCTACAGTCGCCATTCATTGTGTGCATTTTTGTATTAAAGCCCTGTTTTCTTAATCCCTCTCCCGCTGAATTTCTGAACAGCCTGCTCACGCAAACTAATAAATATATTGAATATAATTTTCGCGAATCAGGGAACCACTATCAATATGTGGAGTATTTAAATCACTTTGGATGCAGCTCGTGTTGGATGCAGGGTTGCCAAAGCCGCATTTTTTATGTTTTTGCACGGAATTGGGCTGATTTTAAACTGTTGCGGCGGGTTCATTTTCTCCCGTGGGTTGAAGGTTTGAAATATTGCTGACAGCAGGTGGCGCTTATGGAGCAGCAGAATTACAGCTGTTTCCCGTAACCTCCATGAACAAAGCAGCACTGCAATTAAATCAACACTTTATTAGGTATTAGGGTGACCATATGTCCTCTTTTCCCTGGACATGTCCTCTTTTTGGACCTACAAAAATGCAACCGGCTGGGATTTCAAAATCGCCCAAAATGTCCGGGATTCGGCTTTTGCTTTCTACAGTCGCCATTCATTGTGTGCATTTTTGTATTAAAGCCCTGTTTTCTTAATCCCTCTCCCGCTGAATTTCTGAACAGCCTGCTCACGCAAACTAATAAATATATTGAATATAATTTTCGCGAATCAGGGAACCACTATCAATATGTGGAGTATTTAAATCACTTTGGATGCAGCTCGTGTTGGATGCAGGGTTGCCAAAGCCGCATTTTTTATGTTTTTGCACGGAATTGGGCTGATTTTAAACTGTTGCGGCGGGTTCATTTTCTCCCGTGGGTTGAAGGTTTGAAATATTGCATAAATTACATTTGACTGAAATGCCTGTATTAAAACATTTTGCATTCTACCTATGATAAAACTGTAGTAGACGTTTTGTGAAGTATGACCACTTGTAGGAAGCCTTTTAGCTGTGTTTAGGATCATCTGCATAATGGTGACTGTAAAATATGTATTTTAGGTATGGAAATTTGTGTTGTGATATTTGGGATATGGTCATTGCGCTAGGCCTACTTTGGGGGCTACTTTAACCCCCCTCAAACCCAAAACCTAAGACTGTTATTTAAAATTGCTTCATGCTGGATAGTTATTTATTTATCGCATGTTGTTCAAATCATGGTAATCGGATACGGTTTTAATTTATCATGATTTATCGTCAAACCGGTAATCGTTCCATCCCTAATATATATATATATATATATATATATATATATATACATACATATATATATATATACTGTATATACATACAGTATACAGTATATATATATTTGCTATATTTATTTATTCATTTATTTATTTATAGCTGCGTAATTGTTTATATCGTCACAAAAATGTAGCTATATTATTGTCCAGCTCTTTATATAAAGTTGAATATAAAAGTATGTCCAGCTTTATCCACATACACACAGTACACTAGTATAGACCTTATGTCGCTCCGCCCCTTTTTGTGTTCCATCTTCCGATCTTACGAATTTATGAATGAACCACTCGTATTAAAATCTTCCCGGTCTTCTGACATTTGTTATGACATCCGCTTTAAAAATTACGATGTTCTTAATAACAGTGGTTAACTCTAAAACAACTTCATCAACTAATTACTCTTCAAAAGTGATGCTCTAGAGCAGGGGTGTCAAACTCAGTTCCTGAAGGGCCGGAGCCCTGCAGAGTTTAGTTCCAACCCTGCTCCAACACACATACCATGTAGTTTTCAAATAAGCCTGAAGGACTTGATTAGTTGGATCAGGTTATACATTACAATAACGTGAAGAGATATACTATATTAAAAATCTCAACTTTTAAAATGTTGTTTTTGTTGCAAAATGTAACTATATTATTGTCCGGACTTTTATATGAAGTTAGATGTATACTGTAAGCAGGTTCATCTTCATTCACATATATTTTCCTGTAGTTCAAACAATAGAGCATAGCACAAGAATGCCAAAGTCATAGGTTCAATTCCCATAGATAGCAAAAACTGATCAAATGTGCATCTTGAATGCAAAGTCACTTATGATCAAAGATTCTGCCAAATGCATAAATATTCATAAAGGTGGTGGATTGCTTGTGTTGTCGCAAAATATTAACTATATTATCATCCACCTTTAATCTGCTAAATGCAACTGTAAGCGACGAAGATATAAGAATATTATAAACATTAACATTATGATTTTCTGTAAAGCTGCTTTGAAACAATGTGTATTGTAAAAAGTCAATTTGACTCGTACCTCTGGAGTGCCGCAGAAGGTTGAGGTGGTTCCTTCTGGTTCTATGCCTTCTTTACACAAGCCAAAATCTGTTAACACCACATGACCCTGAAAGAGATCGGAAACAAACTTATGCACTATCACAATGCATTTATTAGTACTATTGCATGCACTTGTCCTAAATAGCTGTTTACCTGGTGGTCTAATAGAATGTTTTCTGGCTTGAGATCTCTAGATGGGAACATGAAGACATGGAAGTGAGATCAGGCCAGCTGAGATATGAGAGGAAAGCATTGTTACTGACCTGTACACTATATTGAGAGAGTGAAGGTATCCGATGGCACTGGCCACCTCCGCCGTGTAGAAGCGAGCTCGTGCCTCTGAGAAACACCGCTCTCTCTGCAGGTGATAAAATAACTGCAGGGGGAAGGAAAAGGAGCACTCAGACCTGTTTTTAACACATTCGATTGATTGTGCTGCTTGTTTCCAGCATGTAAAATGTAAAACAGAAATCTGTTTAAAACGGTTTATCTTGTGTGAGCTGATATAGTACTTAAACTGAGTTTATGTCTGTAAACATAAGGATATTTCAACATAAATGTATAAGCAGAAGTATGGTTATTAATAGTGCTGTCCCTCGTCACAATCCTGCCTGTCTTTAACCCCGAATGGTGGCTGTTTGTAATTTCTAACCAAAAACACTTTCGTATTAATCCGATGCAGTCAATCTTGTGAAACAGTGCTTCAGTCTGAGTTATATATTATTATGAAGTCTTATGTACTTGATACGTTTATAAAAGTTTGGGATCGGTAAGAATTTTTATTGTTTTTAAAGTAGCCGCTTCTGCTCACCAAGACTGCATTTATTTGCTCAAAAATACAGTAAAACAGCAATGTTGTGAAATACTTCTACAATATGGCCTTTTTTAGCATTTTTTAAATGTAAATTATTTATGTAACATAAAGCAGTATTTTTAGCATCATTACTCAGTGTCACATGATCCTTCAGAAATCATTCTAATATGCTGATTTACTTAAAGGAATTAATAAAAGCTTGTATAATATAATAGTTGGAAGTAGATTAGTGTATACAGTGACAAGCAGTTTGTATTCTATAGTTTCTGATCAAATAAAAATAAAACAAACGAAAAGAGTGTAAACATGATGTCATAACAGATGCAGGCAAAAACTGCATTTCAGGTTGTCTGAAAAAACAACTCACCCGTCTGTTTGGAGTCAGGGTTAAATGTAGAGTTGATGACGTTTTGCTGATAAAGTGCTGTTGAAGTGCATCATTTTCTGCGCGTGTCTCAGAGACGTCTGGTTATGCAGCTGCCTCGGCTGAAGGCCCGGGTGAATGATCAACCCATGTGTGCAGCGGAGATATGAGAGCCAGAGAGAGACGCACCGTAGTGTGTGTGTGTGTGTGTGTGTGTGTGTGAGAGAGAGAGTGTGT